GGGATCCAGCAGCGCGCCGCTACATTCACCGCGCGCCGATCCGCTGGGAGCGCCCTGGCTGCCAAGAGGGAAAGGAATGCGATCGCCCCGCGCAAGCGCAGGCACGCGGACCCCCGCGTCTGGCCGCGCCCGCGCGCCGGCCAGCACCCGCGCTCACCAGCGCGACCTGGAGGACCACGTCAGTCCAGCGATCAGCAAGTTCAGCTACCCAGCGGCGCAGACTTTGGAGCAGCAGACGAGGCTGCTTCACCACCCGCGCCCGCGGAGGGTCAGGAGCCAGCGAATCATTCAGAGCTGGCGCCCAGGGCACTGGTTCGGGCGACTGTGTCGCTCGACCAGGGATCCAAGCTTTCCCAGCATCAGGCGCGGAGCCTCGTCCAGCAGTGCCACGAGTTGCCGACGCGGCTGCAGGCGACCCAGCGCCCTCAGACTGGACTCGCTTCGACGTCACTACCTCCTTACGAGCGCTTGGCAGTGACTCGCATGAAACATGCATGCAGGAGCTTCGTAAGCTACGCCGCCAGCTTTGGCACGCCACCAAGGAGGAGATGGCACGAGCACTAAGAGCAGCCAACATGCCACAGGACATCCCCAACTCCGCCCCCACGGTGGTCAAAGACTGCAGGGTTTGTCGCACATTGCGAACGCCAGCACGCCATACCCTCCCTAAACTCAGCCTGTCGACCCGACTCAACCAGCACGTTGAGTACGACATCCTATTTTACAAGGGTCGCATGATCCCTCACCTGATCAGTTGCGCCTTACGATGGCAGAATTGCCAGGAGGTCATCCAAGCGCGATTCGACGTTGCTTGCCGCCATCGACCGCTCATGGATCCAGCTGTTCGGCCCGATGGAGTTTTTGATCGTGGATTGCGAGGGCGGGGCCCCAGGCGGGATGATCTCAACGTACTTCGTGGAAGACATGAAGTGGAGAGGAGTACAGGTTGACATGCGCGCTCCGCGCCAGCACGCTCGTTTCGTCGAGCGGCGCGGGGCCATGCCGCGACAAAAAATTCGCGCCGCGGAGGAGCAGCTGTATCACAAAGGCACCACCGCGAAAATCGATTCCATGCTGGCACACGCCATCATTGCTGGCAAAAAATAGCCTCACCCACGTGGGCGGCGTAACGCCATGCAACGTTGTCTTCGGACGCCAGCCGCCCATGCCGCCGCCGCTCGAAGCAGACGAACAGGGTGAGTCATCCAGCGACTGCGTCGCCAGCGCCGAGCCTCCCGCTGGCGACGAAGTGCAGCCCAGCCGATTGCAGCAGCGCGTTCGGGAGAGCCTTGCAACGCATGATCGAAGCCACATTGCTTGAACGCGTCAACCGTACCCTCAGGGCCCGCGCCACCGAGTCCCAGGAGGGCCGCTTCAACGTGAGCGGCTCAGTGGAGATCCACAGGCCGCCAAGCACCAAGGCTGTGTCAGGCTGGGCGGGCCTTGGGACAGTCATGTCTGTTGATCCGGCTCGAGGCAGAGTGGCGGTCAAGTACCGCCGAGCCGAGATGGTCTGCACATTGCAAGACGTCCCGGCCTTGATCGGCGCCGTATTCGACGAGATGGGCATCGGCATGGCGCGAGCAGGCTTGGCCTGGGGCCGCGCACAGGACTACCTGGACCACGTGGCACTAGGCCCCGCGGCCCAGACCTTAGGCCACTGGGAGGACACCAAAGGCGTGCAGCTCACCGAGCAGGCGCGACAACGCTCAGACGTCCTCGACGCCCTCCATTATTTGTCCCGCAGATGCTTTCAACTGCCGCACGTCCGCCGCACGTCCGCGCTATGTATGCGATTCATTCGCAGACAGAAATACGTGGACAATTGGCCGGGCTGCACCCGCAGCCTGGCCATATTGCGGCCCCCTCGGAACCCGACCGACGCCCAGCAGATCCACCTCAACGGCGTCGCGTTCGACGTCCGCCAGCTCAGCGGCGAGCATTGGAAGGAAGCATGCATCATCCAGTTGATCTGTGGTGATGAGCCGTTAATGGTGTGAGAAACGCCAGGCAGGCCCTGGACGGAACGTTCGACGATCGCGTCGTCGATTTTCCCGAGGACACCGCCGGCACCACCGAAGGTGGATCACCGTTAGCCTTGTCGGCTATGCCAGAGGAGACTGGCAGTGACCCCCCCGGACACATCCAACAGGTGATGTCGACAGCTTGACGCGAAGTCGATGGGGCAGAAGATCTGACCCAGGCGCTGGAGAAGCTGGCGAGGAGGGCGGTGACAGCCAGCATGCGGTCTCAGCTGCCTTCGAGCACGCCGCGGCAGACCTAGGCCGCGGGCCACGCGAGTGGCCCCAGCGCCTCGAGACGCGGCACCAGCGCCAGGGCATTCACGCGCAGTGCCACTACTACTTGCGCGGGGCCTCCTTGGATGACTTAGCCATGCTAGAGGAGGAGGACGATGTGGGAAGACATGCGGAGTTGCATCTAGGTTCAGGGTTGCGGGAAGCATTCCTGAGCTTCAGCGAGGCTGCGTCCGGCGACTGTCGCCGGCGCTCCACAGGCGGCCGCGTCCGGCGACCGCGTCGCTGGCGGCCCTCAGACAGCCGCGCTTGACATTTATGCCGCCGTCAAGACCGCGGTCATCAACCGCGAAAACAGTTTTCTGTCCAACGAGGAAGTGTCGAGGTTGTCGGAGGAGGTCGCAGCAGCCATCCTCGAGGAGCTCACCATCTGGGTCAAGTGCGCAATTCCTTCGAGAGGAGACCGCTCAAGGGCGCCCGAAACGCAACTCATTCCAGACGTGCCTTCAAGCGGAAGCACCAGATGAAATCAGACGGCAAGACTGTCAGGATCATCCGGCGCCGCCGCTGAGGGGCTTCCGCCACGTGGACGCCGGAGCCTTGGAGACGTTTGCTGGGACAGCGAAGCGGGCGTCTCCGCGCCCGCCATCCCCAGGGGCTTCGCATCGCCCCCGTCGCCGTTGACGTCGAGAAGGCGCCCCCGCAAGGCATGGCCCACGCAGAGATGCAGGAGCAAGGCGAAGCACCTCGGAAGGTGAACTTCACCCCGCCGCCCGGCAGCGCAGCCATCCTCAAGCAGGTGCCCGGCTGCGAGAGCTTCGACGAGTGGACCGAGTTCTTGCGCTGCATCAAGCTGGACACGGGCTGCAAGGATGCGCCCAGAGCTTTCTCCATTAAGATCGCCCAGGTCACGCGCTCACCCGAGTGCAGCGCCAAACCTACCAGATGGGACCTGATGCTCGAGGTCAAGCACGCGACGTCCGGCAGCTAGCGCTGATGTTGCCCATGCACATTGACGGTCTGAAGATTGCTGGGCAAAAGGAGCACGTCGACCGGCTTACCAGCCACATCGAGAGCGTCTTCGGCAAGATGAAGGGTGATTACGACGGCTTCGCCAATTGTTGAGTGCACAATCACCGCAGCGCCGATGGTTCCGCGACGCTCGACCAGGACGAGTACATCGACGCTCTGATACCGATCAGAAATATCGACCTCGTCAAGGCCAAGGACGACGCCGGCCGGAGGTCTGTTTCCCGACCTCTGCGTCTCCCTCCCGGGAGCAGCGGCGCGCGCCTTGCTCGCCCAGCGCCGCGTCGCAGCGTGCATTGTTGCCCTGTAGAGAGCCAAGAACAGGCTGCTCATCCGACGCGCGGCGCAGCTCAACTCCTTTGTTCGAGCCGCGCAAAAGACCACGGTACGCATCACATTTCCATCAATGGAGCGCGCCGGGCGACTCGGCGTGCACAGCGACGGGCCCTCCAAGAGGGAGGAGGAGTCAGGATACGGGGCGGGAGGAGCCGTGCAGCTGCGTCTCGGCAAGCGCCGTCGCACCGGCAAACAGGTGCGCCACCTGCTGGATTCAGCGAGCCGCTCACACAAGCTCGCGCAGATCCTCATTCGGTTTTGAGCTGCTCGCATTAGGGCGCAGCCGACGGCCTGCAGGCCCACCTCCTCGCGTTGCACGAGATGGCGCACGGCCCCGCCTCTGCCGGGGAGATCAGGAGACTGAGGGAGGAATTGGGATGCGCGGTCCCTGCAGACCTCGTCATAGACGGCACGTCCGTCTTCAGCGCCCTGCCCATGGACGCGATCCGGCCGCCGTGCGAAAACAGCGCGGCTGGACACCTGCGGCGATTAGCCGACCAGCTTCGCACCAAGCAGATCGACGACTTGCACCGGTGCGACAGTCGGGACACGTGGGCCGACCCCATGACCAAAGGCATCATGGCCCGAGAGCTACTCCTCAGTGCGATGGACGGCCAGATCAGCTACGACCACGCCGCGGTCAAGTTCAGCGACGAGAAGCTGAAGAAGGCCGCCCCGAGCTCACAGCATAGCGCATTCACGCCGAAGCAAGGAGACGACACCCGTGACTGTGTCAAGAGGTCACGCGGAGTCGTACAGCGGATATACGAGGCCAACGTGCGACATTTAATCATATCGCGTCGTTCTATCGGGGTGATAAGTTAGCCTGCTCTGACTAGTCTGAGCTTTGTCAGGAGTCGCTTTATCTCTGCCGCTGGCGCCGTAAAAGGTTTTTGCGGTGAGCGCCGTGGGTGGAGTGCCTTTGGGATGATGTGAGGTCTAACAACTCCGAAACACGTCGGAACCAGGTGAATGCGTCGTTTCGCTGCCAGGTTGTTGTTTTACGAAAGGGCGGTTCGTAGGGCCCTCTTTTGCATTGTCCTACCGAAAGCGCGACGGACGGGCTTGGGCACCACACTTGAACGGAAGCTCATTTATCCCATCTCACCTATGCCTGCTGCAATGGTTTTCCCCTTTCCGTTGCTGTTTTGCTCGGGGGCACGGAACTTGGCCAAGCGTCAGCGCCCGCCTCGGACGCCCTTTTTGTATCTCACACATACCACACTCCGCCTTCACAAGGACCTGATGTTTCACATTTTCCCATTTACATCCTCATGTATAGTCTTTCCTCTTTCTCCTCCTCCTCCTCCTCTTCTGGCTCCTCCTCCTCCTCCTCCTCCTCCTCCTCCTCCTCCTCTTCCGTAGCCATTTGGCTCAAGACCTGAACGACCGAGACCGCTGCCCCCGAGCGGGCGCCTTTCCGATATCGCGGCCGCGATGGCGCCCCGCCGGCGTGGGCTGCTCGTGGCGCTGGCGCTCCTGGGCCTCCTCGGGCCGCCCGCGTCCTTCGTCGCCGTTCCCGGCAGGGCCCGCGCGCCGGCATTGGCGCCGGCCGACGCCCGCTCGGGCGCCGCGCCACCAGAGGGTCAGCCCCAGGCCCCGGCCTCCGCGGCGCTGCTCGTGGGCGTGGCCGCGTGGCCGCGGCGTCCGCGCGGGCCGCGGGTTCCTCCGCCGTGGGGCGCCGCGTTCGGGGCGGGGAGGCCGCCAACGAGGAGAAGGACACGAGCATCTTCGACGTCATGGCGGACACGGACAAGTACATCGAGATGGACAGGACTTCCAAGCGCCCGGTGTTCGGGTACCCCGAGTGGAAGAGGCACCGCAATTCCGACCGTTTTACACGGAACCTCGGCAACTTGTTCAACTCCCAGACCATCCGCGCGAATTGGCAGGAGGTCGCGGCATGCACACTCATCGCGCTGGCCGTGGTCCTCTGGAACGACGCCCCAGGAGAGTTGGGCTCCATCCTGCCCAAGGACCGCGTGGTCCTCAGCCTGCCAGCTCTGCCTTTCACAGTCAGCGGGACGTTCCTCTCGCTGTTGCTCGTCTTCCGGACCAATTCCGCATACGCCCGCTGGTGGGAAGCGCGTTGCATCTGGGGCGCCATCATCAACACATGCCGTGACATCGTCCGCCAGGCGATCACGCGTTTTGACCCCGCGGACTTGGAGTTGAAGGCGGAGGTGACGCGCTTGGTGTCCGCGTACCCTCGGTGCCTGATCTATCACCTGGGCGAGCGTACCGACGTGTCCAACTTAGTCATCGAGAAAAAGTTGGGTAAGATCCTGACGGAGGACGAGAAGGCGAAGCTCATGGCCTGCACACACAAGCCTATGACCGTCACGGGTATGCTCTCGCAGGCCATTCGCAAGGCGAAGTTGGACGTAATCGACGAGATGAAGATCGACGCCGACGTCACAAAGTTCTCGGACTACTACGGCATGTGCGAGAGGATATTCAAGACGCCCATGCCGCTGTCGTACACCCGCTTGACATCCAGGTTTCTCAGTGTTTGGCTGCTCTTCATGCCGTTGGCGCTCTACGGCGCAGTCGGCACCCATTTTGCGATCGTGCCCATCACCGCGTTCCTGGCTTTCGCAATATTCGGCATCGAAGAGCTTGGCGTTCAGATCGAGGAGCCTTTCTCTGTGCTCCCGATGAACGTTATGGCCGGTGGCATCGACGCAAGCATCTTCGAGGCCCTAGAGTTAGACAAGGAGGACCGGAAGAAGCAGGGCGTGGTCGCATGATGCTTCGATATCTCAGGAGGGGCTATCGGTGACCATCCGCACCTTCAGCGGAAGCAGAAGAGTTTCCTGAATTCGACGCCCTGCTCGGGCACGACTCGCTTTCAGACTTTGCATAAGGGCTCTGCACTGATGGGCTGTGCCCTCTGCCACCTGCACCCCATGCGAAGCCGTCTTGATCATACATTCTTCAATTTTCCGTTATCGCAGTAGGAGGAGGGCAAGCTAGTTTTGCTCATGCTCGGTTGCCGATACTTGCCTGTTTCTTTGTGGGAGGGCTGGTCCATTGCCCAGTTTGCTCCTCCTCCTCCTCCTCTTCCCTCTCGACGAGGAGAAGGAGGTTCGAGAAGGAGGAGGCTCGAGGAGGAGGAGGAGGAGGAGGAGGAGGAGGAGGAGGTCGAGGAAAAGGAGGAAATAGAGGGGGGGCGCGCCCTGGGCCTCGCTCGAACGCGTGCGTTTCTCTCGGCGAGGCCAGCGCTAGAAACATTAGGTTCATTTCGGAGCACGTTTCACCATTTCGGGGGAAAACACGCACGAAACCAAACAACGCACGAGGAATGGACGTTCGAGCGATGGCAAGTTGGCGTGGCCACTTCGGCCAAAGGATGGCGCAGCCCTGCTGTTTACAAGACAATATACGTCACAGTGTTCCCAAAAGGCGACCTCAGTCCACGAGTCTAGGTAACGGCCTGCCCGTCTGGTCGTCGAACACCCCGCGTGAATCATATGATACTGCAGCTCACGCAGACCCGTTGCGGGTCAAAACTGTTTGCGTGAATGTGTGAGGCCACCAGGGCAAACCATATTTCGTACCAGTAGGGATGAGCACTGCAGCCGCTGAGCCGCTGAGGCTCAAGCTGCCCGCCCTAATGTTTCCGTTTGTGCCACGTCCTCCTTGCTACAAGCCCCACGGGTAATGGTACGCCCGTCTGGCTGTTGAATATTGCGCGTGGAGCTTCTTTACAACAATGGTGCAGCCTGTGTATACTAAGTATGGGTCGAAATTGCTCGCGTGTGTTCTTGAGGTCAGCAAAGCAAAAGTATGTCCCTAGCTCACGTCAAAAACGCAGGAGTTTCCCGAGTCGTTTTGTCAATCGATGCGGCGGCCACGCCTTCCTCCCGCGTCCAGCCGCGCCCCGTCATGCAATCTCGCCGATGCTGCGTTTTCCTTTCTGCGGAGGAAGAGGAGGACGAGGAGGAGGAGGAGGAGGTGCCCACAGCGGCGTCCACCGCCCCCTCATGCATAAGGGCCCACCCCGCACGTGCTTCGCCGCCAGCTGAGGGGGCAGACTTGTGGCTCGAAGTGGGAACATTGCCTCCCACTTAAGATATACACTTTTCACGTGTTTCGTTCCCCCTCCCCCCTCCCCCCCCGCGCCTGGCATAGGGACGTCAGGCCAACTCAGGCCCCAGCGGGCAGCCCTTTATTGAGATGTGCCCCGCGCTCCATGGGAACGACAGGCCAGGGCCCCAGAAGGGACGAGGCGGAGGAGGATGCAATATGAGGGAGAATGCAGAGGAAAACTAGCACTGGAGGGCGATGAGGAGCAGAAAGGACAGTCAGCTCGGCGAGGTCGCATTTTTCAGGAGGGAAAAAAAACACAGACACTATTAATCTTCGATTCCCCAGAAATATGGGAAAATATGGGAAGTGTGGGGGAAGACAGAAACCCAGAAAATACGGGAAAATATGGGGAATTGTTTTATTTGTGTGTACTTATTTGTGTGTCCTGGGGCCCCTTCAATTTTGCATCGAGTCACAGACTGGCCCCTTCACGCACTCCCGCCCCCGAAGTTGCGCTCCACCCCCGGAGCCACAGCCGCCCGACGTGCGAGCTGCCAGTGATCTGGGTCGCCTGCGCTGTCGGCTTCTCCGCAGGAGTCGCGCGCGTGTGTGTGTGTGTGGGTGTTGGCCGGGTGGCCCTGCCCTCATCCCTTCTTCCCCGTCCAAAGACCAACGGTTCGTTCTTGTCGGATCGCCTTCCCCTTGATCTCGACCCCTTCCCCAGACTGGTGTTTCATCCTGAGCGGTTGTTTGATTTGTCCTGGGGCCTAGAGGCGCCACCTGGGCGCCGAAAATAATGGTACGAGTATCAAGATGACCGAAAGCGGCGTGATCCCCTCAGTCGCCAGAGGCCTGTGCGCCTTCTTTGTCTCCAGCTCCCGCAGGATTATTTCATGTCCCACTGCATGGACCACCTGGGCGTCGGCAGGGTCGACGACTTCGGCATGCTGAGCGACAAGCGCTGCTGGAGGGGACGGGACCCTCAGGTCCTGTCCCTATCTCGTCCCTCCCTCGTTGTCGCCCTCCTCCTCCTCCTCCTCCTCCTCCTCCTCCTCGGTCGGTCGGTCGGCCATCAAGGGATGAGTCCGAGTCCCGCGCGAAGCTGGATGCGGGCAGCGGCGGCAGAGAGAAAGAGAACAGCGAGGCAGCGATCGCGGCAGCGGGCCAGCCTCGTGGTGAGCCTCGCGGTGAAGCAATGCCCCCCCCCTTAGCCCAAAGCACAATCTCGCAGGCTTAGAGGTTGACACCAACACCAATCTCGGCGGTGTGCCTCCACCGAGGGAAGAAGATCCCGATCTCGGTGATGGTGGTAATGTTCTGGCTTCAAGGTGACCGAACTATTACCACCAACACCGAAATCTAGGAGCATCTTCCCCCTGTGGAGTCAAACCCCTGTGTTGGTGTTGGTGCCAATTTCCAGGCCTCCAACAATCCCATATCACGGAGGACCTTTCAACACCCGGTCCTGACGCAGGACAGGCCGCGAATACACATGTCGCCGACCATCTTAGTGTGCGACGCGGGGGGGGGGGGGCAACAAACTCCCGACGTCTGCTGGTGGCTGGCCATTCACCAGGGTACTACTCCCAGGTCCTGTGGAGCCTATGGGGCGAAAAACAAACCTTCCCCTGACTACTGCGAATTAAAGTGCTGCGCGCACTTCCAGCGCAAAAAAACAGTCAAGCAAAACCATCCCCCTAGGGTAGTGCAAGAGTAGGTGCAGCGCACACCGTTCCATGCGTCAATTGAGGAGGCTGGTGTCAGCCGAGCAAGGTCACGACCCTTCTGGCACCGAAAGAGAGGATCCAGAGAGACAACGAAGGGCTCAACATCTTCTCCGAGGTCCACGGGAGGCGGTCCCGACGGGGACCCGAAGTGCAACTGAACAGCCACAGACAAGCTCTGGGCCAGGACACGACAGAGCTCAGACGGGTAGATTTTCGTCACGGCAGTGGTCCAGGCCCCCGACCCCTCGCGACCCTGCAACACCTGCACCTGAGCACGATGTTGGCATCTCCTGTGGCGAGGCAACTCCAGAAGAGTCTGTTCCATCCTGGGGACATGGACACCCAAAAAGAGGTAAGTTGGACACCCCCCCCCCCAAAAAAAGAGGTAAGTTGCTTGGCCCCCTGATCAAACATACACTGATCAAATCACTTGGTCTACTAAGCCTCCACGTCACCCAGTCTCTGGGCGGGCCGCCGTCGCCGAATCCGTCTTTTACAAAGTGCACCTAATGTTCGGGACCGCCGCCGCCGCCGCGAATTTGCATCGGTTGTTTGTAAGACTGCCTTCAGCCCACCCCGCTACCGCGCCTGGGCCGTGGGCCAGAGGCCTCGTCGCGGTTGCGCGTTTGCTCCCTTCGAAACAGAATAATGTTGTGCAATTCGTCGCGGTTGCGCGGTTGTTCCTTCTGTGTGGGCGTTTTGGGCCTGGGGGGGGGGTCAGAAGAACTACGTTGTGTAATTCGTCGCGGTGGCATGGAGAGTTCGGGCCTAGGGGGGGTGAACGACAGCGAAGCGTGATATTTCCAAACATTTCTTGGGCACGTTTTGTTACTTATGTTTTCGGTGCGCGCTCGTGGGTTGAAGGTTTCGCTTGATTGGGGAAGCGATTGCGGGCGCTTTCGGATAAGAGAACGGAGGTATTTTTGAACTGGGTTGCGGCGTCGGATTCCGGCTCGTATTTGGCGGCCCGACGATGTTCAAATCAAAAATATATGTGGTAAGAAGGTACGCACGCATGCGCGCGAATTAAGCACGACATTCATTATCTACACCGACATTTTTCCATGCTCATGTCACGTAATACATATAGTGTGCGCAGAGTCCGCCTCCCTCGTCTTTACATTGTCGGTTTGGCTTTTGCGCGCGGCCGCCACCAATTTTTTGTAACACTTACTTGGGGTCCGGGGCGTTGGCCGCCAGATTTGGGGCCCCTCCTGCATAGTGTTTTTTGATTTTTTCGTCGCCGCTGTGGGAATTCTGGTGAATACTTTTTCTCGAGTGTCGACCTGGTGATCTGATCAATACGGTGCAGCTTCACCCCTAAGTGACGGGCCAACGATCTCATCACGGGGAGGTGTCAACTGCTGGGGACGTCCGCCCTGTGAACAGCTGGCAACATCAATAGAAAGCACAGCAGGCGTGGGATACTGCCCAACGAATTGTCAAACCAGCCCTGGAAATCACGAGCCCTCCGCTGCCCAGACAACAGGTGCAGCATGAAACGGTGCGGACGAGCAGAGGGGAGTGTCGGCGCAAACGAGGGGGCACCAGGTGGTGAGTGGTGGGGGCGGGGGAACAACAGGCTCGGACGCAGGCGGCTCTTCACCCAGCACCCGAGCGCCCCCGACGGGCCCAATCATTCTTACGATCGGTCGGTGTGCGCCATCGTCGGCCAAACCTGCGGCTCGATTGGCCCGCTGCTCGGGCCGTCGAGCCCCCCGAGCCTCCAGGACCTCCTCTTCGGATGGACGGGCGCCCAGGGCTACTGAACCACGGTAACGCAAGGTTTAGCGTGAGCAAGATGTTTGTACAACCTCCCGTTTGACCGATGATCCCGCCCACATATTTCTGCAACAGTTTCCCACTGCCATCAGAGCGGGTGACGCGTCTTGGGGGTGCTGCTTGCCCGTGTGCGCTCGTGGTGCACGCTGAGCGCGGAATACCTGTCCGCATTCGTAGCACATGAACTTGGCTACCACGTCGCTAGCGTCCCTGCTCTTGGGGGTGCCCTCCATGTCCATCCGCACCCCAACGTCCCAAATGTGAAGCTGGCGTCGGTCACTCCACTCTCGGGCTCTCTGAATGACGGTCTTAGTGGAGGCCCTAAACCGCTCAGGGTCCATCTGCACTGCTGCCAGCCAGTCGTCCAGCCCACCACTCCCAGGGACGGCCCATGAAAGGAGCAAACCAATCAAAGCTCTTGGTGAGGGCGAAGGCCCAACTGCGCCGGCGCATGAGAGCCACATCGAGCAGAGAGAGCAAAAATTTGGGGGGACACTTAAACATCCGAACTAAAAACCTGAGCTTCGAGACATGAACAACAGCCCCCCACGGAAGGCAATCCGCCATGGCCAGAATGTCCCCGTAGGCGCGGCGATGCGCCGAGGAGTTGCCGGCAGGAAGGCCGAGAGCACAACGGTAGAGAAGCTCATGGCAGCCTGAGGAATTGGTCTCCGTATACAAGAACCGTAGAAGCACCCACTAGATCCGAGGGCCCCAGCATAAAGACGCCCGGCCTTGAGCGAGAGACGGGCCCCACGGGCAAACGCGGCCTTCATCGGCCTCGCAGCCGCGCGAGCGGCCAGGGAGCGAGCAGACATCTCCACACCTTCGGATCCAGCGTCCACGAGAACGATGCCGAAACACTTGCGAGACCTGACCGCTGCAACCTTGACTTTCCATTGCGGTGACTCCAGCATCGGAACGTCTTGGCCAAACAGTGACTTGTGCGCAGTGTGTGGCCCAGGGCCACGGATGCGAACCATGATTGTAGTTTTCGCGGGATTGGGGGCGCGACCATGCCGATCGCAAACAGCGAAAACAATGTCAACTGGCTCACTAAGCATTTGGATTAGTTCCCTCAGACCCTGGGCAGCCACCGAGGGGTTTACACCGTCGACAAACGAGGCGGAGACCAAAACCTCATTGTCATCATGTGAAATAGAGAAAACCTTGGCGTTGACATCTGGTGTCCAACGAAATCCTCCGCTAGCCATCTCTGCTTCTATGTCAGCCTAGACGCTCGCATAGGCAACGCTGAGCACCCCGCTGCCATTGCAGTGCCTGATCTACACCCTGCGCGGGGGATCACATAACCATCCGCTCCCCTCACCACCCAGAAGGCCCCTCGCTGAGCTTCCCTGAGCGAGGCAACAAGGTGCGAGCGCTGAATGCCCCGCTCGAAGATGGCCCCGAAACTAAGTGAGCACGCGCGCCCACGACCAGAATGGGAGGTGGGGGGAGCTCTCTCAGGGCAAAGCATGCAGTAACTGCTTCAATGTGGGGTAAAAGGCTACAGTGAGATCCAGGGCGAGGGACCCCGAGGAAAGCGACCGCGCGTCAGCGGCAGCCCAATCGGATTTGCAGCCACGTCGGACGACCTCCCAGGAAGGCCCCCACATTGCTGGGCGAGCAACGCGGCATAGAGGTGAACGAGCGATAACCCACGCAAGTGGCGATGATGGTGCTTGCACAGAGAATTCGTCATAGAATACTTCTCTGATCAGCAGCCAAGGCTACCAACCCCTTGCCATTGTAGAACGACCCCGCACGCCCAACCTTGAAAGCGAGTGGTTTCCTCGAGGTCATGGTGACTTTCGCCAGAAGGGGGTGCAAAACCTCCGCGAGCTTCACCGGCGCCAGCTTTAAGGAGTCCGGGGGGGGGGAGCCGCCAGGCCCAGGCTGCCGACTTCCCCAGGTCCCCCTCACCAAGGAAACTAGCCGAACCGATGCAAAGACATCAAGTTCTCTGGGGGTGTCACCGGACAACATAGGAAGCGTAGAGTTGTCATGCTCCTGAACCCCTTGGGCATCCGCTGATTTGCCTCGCCCGGCATTGGCAAAATGCTGCTGTAGACTGTTTGCAACGTCCGGCTCTGCGCAAAGAGCCGTGTCATCGCCAGTGGTGGAGCAAGAAAGGCGGTCGGCATCTTGGGCGGCCTCCCTCCGAACTGCATGAGTATCTTCACTCGCGGCCACTCGGGCCGCGGCAGGCCAGTGTCTCTTGCTTCGCCAGCGGCGCCTGCCTGCATGTTTGTAAATGTTTGCGTCGATCCTGCTCTGGAGCGGCGGCCAAGGCATCCTCGGAGTCAAGAATGAAGCGCTGGAGTCCCAGGACACAGCCAAAGTCACGCAAGACCCCCGAGTCCCAGGGCCGCAAAACCGCCACAATCTGCTCAAGCTGCGGCCGCCACCCCTGTGCAGCATCTCGCACGGCAAAGCCTATGACGTCGCCGCCTAC